TAAAATTAATATTTCATGAGTATTGAATTATGGAAATTGTACCCCCAAGAAGTGAATTACATAATTGATATTTTGCTATAAAGTCAGATTTAATAAAAGTTTTTATATGAAATGTTCTATAAATAGATTTGTATTCATTTAATAATAATAAGGAAATTCCTACCAGTTCTACTAAAACTTTCTTTCCTTAATACCCCAAATATGCTTGCTGTTTAAAACTGGGTAGCTAGGTATCCCTAAAATCATGTAGTAATTTTTCTTTATTAGTCTATTTATTTGGTCTTATTTGGAGAAGTTGATTTCTACAATACACAGACTAGCAGTGCTGTTTGGAGAAGCAGTTTTACTAAGTCAATTGTATTTCTCTGGTTGGTTGATCATTCTTGTTACTTGTGAGGAGTAGCTATTTTGCCACAAAGTAGAAATATTTCACAATGAAGGAAATTAAGGCAACAAAATTGGTATTCCAGCTGTAATACAAGCCCAAATGTTCTACCTTACAGGAAAAAATATTGGCATTCTGTGTTCTTTCACACTAGCATCCTTTTAAGGCCAAAGGCAAGTGCATATCCAAGGTGAATGGGGCTACTTGAGGTGACAATTTCTCTATCTGTCTTAGTGTTGTCTTAAGCCAAGTCTCTCTTTCCTCTTTCTGCATTTATTTATTTATTTATACATACACATATATAACATAACATAACATAACATAAGGAGCTCTGGTACCATAGTGCCTACAGCACTTGACTACTAACCAGAAGGCTGGTGGTTCAAACCCACCAGCCACTCACTCCTTGGAAGGAAGATGGGGCAATCTATTTCTGTAGTGATACTGCCTCAGAAACCCAAGGAGGGGTTGCTATGAGTCGAGTCCGACTCGACACCACATAACAACAACAACAACAACATAATATAATATAAACAATCCACTTTCATCGAGTCAATTCTGATTCATAGCGTCCTTACAGGACAAAGTAGAATCGCTCCATAGGGTTTCCAAGGCTGTAAATCTTTATAGAAACAGACTGCCCCATGTTTCTCCTGTGGAGCAGCTGGTGGTTTCAAACCACTGATCTTCTGGTTAGCAGCTGAATGTTTTAACCACTGTGCCACCAGAGTTCCTTAGTCAAGTCTATGGATGAGATGAATTGTCTGCCCTAGTCATCAGCTACCCAAAGCAATGCAGCAGTTAGCTTTAATGTACTGGCTGGGAAGGAGGAAAGAAAAAGAGCACTTCCATTCTTAAGGAGAACCTGAAATGCCATTCATTCAACAAATATTATTGAATAAATAATATCTTGCTGGTATTGTAACACTTATGATTTTAAAAGTTGTTTTAACTTGAATAAAATGGTATGGTGGAAACCCTTAATGTGGTTGGCCATTAACAAAAGGCTGGAAGTTCAATTCCACTCTGAGGTATCTTGGGAGAAAGGCCTGATGATCAACTGAAAATCAGTTACTGAGAACCCTAAGAAACACAGTTCTATTTCGACATGCATGGGTCACCACAGAGTTAATTTGATGGCAATTTTTTTTTTTTCATAGCATTGAATCACAGGGAAACACTGTGGGAGTAGGGAAGGGGTACTCACTTGCTCTTAGTGTATTTTTGGATTTGAGTTGATGATTCTTTACCAGACCAGATAATTAAGGACAAAACCCTGTTTTCACCTTTGTCTTACTTTCTTCAGTCAGGTAAAAGCAATTTTCCTTTCTCTTCTTCAAATAGCTCATATTGGGACTTGGCCTAGTTTCATCAGTAGTAATTTTAGATTGATACTGAGAAATTCTGGTATGTGTGCTTTGACTATTTTCCCCATGATTACTATTTCTTGCTTTATAAAGCTGTCAGAGAGAGAGAGAGAGAGAGAGAAATGGCTATAATCATTTTAAACAATTGCTTCTTATATCTGGTTTTAGTTAGGTGAAGATGCAAATTATGCATGTTTTTTTGTGTACTAGTTGTCTAGTAATCTTAGAATCAGCAGCCTCAGTGAGATGGAAACAGGACTTGCAGCTGCTATCATGTTGTTGTTGTTGTTATGTCGTTGTTGTTATGTGCCGACTCATAGCGACCCTTCCTTGGGTTTCTGAGGCAATATCACTATGGAAGTAGATTGCCCCATCTTTCTTTCGAGGAGTGGCTGGTGGGTTTGAACCGCCAGCCTTCTGGTTAGCAGTCAAGTGCCTTAGGCATTACGTACGCTACCAAAGCTCCCAACTATCTCTTTTAAGAGGCAGTAACACCAAACAAAGTAACCATCTAAGAATCCAAAGTTTCACTTCCCAGGCCCGTTCCTTCTTTCTTCTACAAAATCCCATGCTTCTGAGAATCTAGAGCCACTGCAAGGAATCCCACCTCTTCTGACACCAACAGCAAAAAAGGCAAGGAGGCCACATCTTCTGACCTCCTCTAACCACACAAAAGAAAAACAGAATCACTATCGGTAGCCCAAGGCTCATTACTGTAAGCCTAGACATGCTACCTCTCTCCAGCCCTTTCACCAACCCTGACACCAACCGTTCCTCCCGCAGCACCCACCTTTCTGCTCAGGGTTAGATAATTCACTGCAGTGGCCACATAGAACTCACAGATTATGGGGTTTATTAGGGAAGTGCCAAGCTACAATTCAAGTTCAGGAACAATGTTCAGTCTCTCTCCCAGCCCGCCATCTCTCCGCCAACAGTCTCTCTCTCAGCCGAGCGTGTCCCTCGGTGTCTCACTCAGCAATGTGTGTCTCTTAATGTCTTTTTCCCAGCAGCGTGTGTGTCTCAGAAGTGCATGTCTCTTTCGGCAGCACGTCCTTTCCAGCCAATATTTTAGCTTCCTTCTCTATCTCATTTTGTAAATCTCCACCTGGCTGTTATATTTGAGAAGATGTTCTCTAATTTGGCCTCTGTCTCTTTTTAACTAGGTGTGCTTGTATATGAAAAACCAAAAAACCAAAACCAAAACTCACTGCCATAGAGTCTATTCCAAATCATAGCAACCCCCACTGAGTTTCCCAGGCAGTAAATCTTTACGGCAGTAGATTGCCTGGTCTTCCTTCTGTGGAGTGGGTGGTGGGTTTGAACCACCACCCTCTTGGTTAGTAGTCAAATGCCTTAGGCACTGCACCACCAGAGCTCCTTCATACATGAAATGCATCATTAATTTGATCTGTCATTTCAGCAACTTGTTATATGGGCTGTTGTTTTGTTGTTAGGTACTGTTGAGTCAGCTCCGACTCATAGTGACCTTATGTACAACAGAACAAAACACTGCCTGGTCCCATGCCAGCCTCACAGTCTTTGCTATAACTGAGCAAATCGTTGCAGCCACTGTGCCAATCCATCTCTTTGAGGGCCTTCTCCTTTTTTGTTGATCCTTCACTTTACCAAGCATGATATCTTTTTCCAGGGAATGGTTCCTTCTGACAACATGACCAAAGTAGATGAGACGAAGTTTGGCCATTCTTGCTTCCAGGAAGCATTCCAGCCATACTTCTTCCAGGACAGATTTGTTAGTTCTTTTGGCGGTCCATGGTGCTTTCAGTAATCTTCACCAACACCACAACTCAAAAGCATCAACTCTCCTTTGGTCTTCCTTACTCATTGTCCAGCTTTCACATGCATATGAGATGATTGAAAATACCATGGGTTGGGTTAGACATCTTTGCTCTTCAACACTTTAAAGAGATCTTTTGCAGCAGCTTTGCCAAATGCAGTAAGTCATCTGATTTATTGACTGCTGCTTCCATTGGTGTCGATATGGGCTACCTAGGTAAAATTCTAAGTTAACAAGCTCTATGGAATTTCCAGAATGCTTTATTATAACATGCTGAGTGATAATAAATATGCCCTCTGCTAATTAGATTTGATGAGCAAAACAAATGCCTAGCTTTTGCTTGTCAAGCAATCAACAGATATAAAAGTCACTTGAACCTAGTTCAAGCCCCTGCTAGACGGTATCTTTGTGAGAATTACAAAAAGCTATCTCTTCTGGAAAGATTCTGAAAAAATATCCTCTCTGGACAGAGAAAGTAGAATATAAGGCACCTCTTCCTCTAGCTGACTGGGGTGCATTTGGCTGGCTGAGTGGGAACTGATGTCAGCCCCCATTCATCTCCTTGACCCTGTGCCCTGCCTCTGACTCAGTAGGGTTCACTATGAGTTGGAATTCACTCTATGGCAGTGAGTTTTGTTTTTGGATTTTTGGTTTTTCATATAGAAGCACAACTAATTAAGGTAGGAAGGTAGGAAATAACATTCTGTACTGTTTCTATCTTTTCCCATCTTCAAACTCCGGGCTATTTTCCTGTTTTGTATTGTTGATGGATTCATAGAAATTAATCCATTTTGATAGTAGTGATACATGAGGAAGGGATTTGGGTTATTATTATTTGATTTTCAGATAAATAAAGTGATTTTTGGATAAGTAACCTCAATGGTAGTTCAAGACATCTTTCCTCTCACAGCATGCAATGAGAATAAGTACATTATAGGCTCATTCACTTGGAAAGCTTTGTTCATTTTCAATAATTTATTTAAACTTTATTATGAAGAGTTTGCTTGTATCACCTATGGGAATATATGTGTATCGAATGACTTTTCTTGTATGTGTTATTTCTTACTATAAATAATAATTATAACAAAATTAAGTAATTATGTTTTCTGCTTTAAAATACCAGGAGTTACTACCTTGCCATGAAAACAGGATTACAAGCTTCCCACTCTCCACTCCCAATTATATAAAAATCCATGAATACTGCAAATGATTAATGTGCTAAGCTGGTAACTGAAAGTTTGGAGGTTCCAGTACATGCAGAAATGCCTTGGAAGAAACCAGCCAGCTGTGGAATTGAAAACCCTATGGAGCACATCTTACTCTCACCCACGTAGGGTTGCCTGAGCCAGAACGGACCCAGAATGGATCCCATTGCAACTGTTTTCGTTTTTAATATTAAAACAGAAAAGGATGAATAGTGAAAACAGGATTTTTTGTTTTGTTGTTCTTCTAGGTGATGTGTACCACATCACTGCACCCAACAAATTTACCTTTGAAGAAGCTGAAGAAGAGTGTGAAAACCAGGACGCCCGGCTGGCGACAGTGGGGGAACTCCATGCTGCTTGGAGGAACGGCTTCGACCAGTGCGATTACGGTTGGCTTTCTGACGCCAGTGTGCGCCACCCTGTGACCGTGGCCAGGGCCCAGTGTGGAGGTGGTTTACTTGGGGTGAGAACCCTGTATCGTTTTGAGAACCAGACAGGCTTCCCTCTCCCTGATAACAGATTTGATGCCTACTGCTTTAAACGTAAGTATCTGATACCTTTTTTAAAATTACAGATTTTAAAATACTACTTGGAAGGCATGCATTGGTGTTAACTTGGGCTTGGGAATGGATTCCATGTCCTGTACTTTGTGCACGGGAATGAAAACAGTTCAGTGACTTGCAAAAGCAAGCAAACTGAACAGCAGTGATGTGGTTAAAGCAACAGGAAGTTTGACCAATGTCTAGAGAGAATGAAGATATGCCAGTTTAAGGTCTTAACTGTGCCCCGTTGTGCCTAGAATCACAGAGTGTATTTCTCAGTAATTTTGTATTAATTGCAGGCCTTAAGTGCAATTAGATTGTTGGTGCTATAATGCTGAGGCCAACTGTGGCTGAGTTAAATCCTTGAATTTTGTTTATTCTGTCCTTGTTTGATGCCACTCTTTATTTGAAATGGGAACTTAAATATCAATAATTGCAGGTGAGTACTTGGAGCTGATAATCATATGATTAGATAATCATAATGTTCAACTCAGAGCTAAAAATGAGCCATGCTGTAAGTAAAAATCTCCACTTATTTTATTTCAGATAATGGAGATATGTGCCTTCTAATGATTAATTCTATAATATTATAATAAAGTAAAATAAATGTTCTTTGCGAAGTCTAACAAAAATAGGCGTTCTTCAGTTAGATTTACTGCTTAAAATTTGTTTCAAGTAATATTTCTCAACATTTATAATTATGTTAACTTTTCAGATGTTCTAGAATTGTTTTAGCCATAATAGTCCTATGATATATCATGACTGTAGTCTGATTAATTGAACAAGCACATATTCTATAGTCTCCCTGCAATATTTTTGGTAGGGTCTGTAGGGGCTAGCTAAACAAAGATCTCCCCAAAATTCTAGTATCCTTGAATGTGTATAAAATGGACCCATGTTAAAAATTTTTAAGTTTCTAAGATAACCTTGTAGAAGCAATATATAACTAAAATTAATAGAAAATACACTATCTTATTATATAACTTGTTTATAAAATGAAATTCACTGGCATTTCCCAACAACCAAAAAGGCACAGAGCTGTGATGTCCAAGTAGTCAGCAAAGGAAAGGAAAACTAAGATACCTCAGCTTGGATTTTCTCCCTTAGGCTCAACTTTCTGAGTGTTAGAGCCACCTGTTGTGTATTTAGCTTAAAAAAAACTGGCTGATCAATCATGAGATCATTGCAAAGACTAGCTTTTTTTTTTTTTTTTTTTAATCTAGACTATGAAACAGGAGGCTTCCTCAAGCATTTTCAGGAAAACAAACAACAACTAACAAAAAACCTTCTCTCTAAAAGTAGAAAGGCATGCATTTCCTCCAATAGCTCAGGTTCTAAAAGTAGTTTCACATTGTGATGGGTACGATCAAGGAACAACACTGGGCTTTGAACCAGTTCCTTCTGTTTAGACTCCTTGCTGAGAATTTGCATTTCCACCCTAAGTATACTGAGTCAGAATCCATAGTCTATCAAGGTAAGAGTCACCAGGAAATCTAGTTAAATGTAGATTCTGATTCAGTGTATCTGGGGTGGAAATGCAAATTCTCAGCAGAGGGTTGAACCAGAATGAATCTGTTTGAAGCCCTGGAATAAAATTGGTATGTGGAGAGGTGGGGGTTTAAAAAGTTAAGTCAGGGAAGTGGTGGAATTATTTAGCTTGATTGTCTTGCTTGATTATACCCTCTTTTGCTTTTTAAAGGATCCCTGGTTGTGCAGTGGTTAAGAGCACTTGGCTGCTGACCAAAAGGTTGATGGTTTGAACTCACCAGCTGCTGTGCAGGAGAAAGATGTGGCAGTCTGCTTCAGTAAAGATACAACCTTGGAAACCCTATGGGGCAATTCTACTCTGTCCTGTATGGTTGCTATGAGTTGGAATTGACTGGAAGTCAGTGGGTTTGGTTTTGAGTTTGGGTGCTTTTTAAAACCAGCATTAGAAAATATTTAAACAAAACAATTTTTAAACATATTTTTTTCTCCTTGAGGGTAGAATTTAATTCAAAGACTGTCTATAGCCACAAAAAGTACTGTTACAAAACATCCTGGTGTATTTTAAATTATTATTTAAATGATGAATTCATATGAATGTATGAAAAAACAAGGTACTTACATTCAAATTGTTATGTGCCATTGAGTCGGCCCCAACTCATAGTGACCCCTCCTTGGGTTTCTGAGGCAGTATCACTACGGAAGTAGATTGCCCAACCTTCCTTCCGAGGAGTGGCTGGTGGGTTTGAACCGCCAGCCCTCTGGTTAGCAGTCAAGTGCCTTAGGCACTACACTACCAGAGCTCCTTACATTCAAATAGAATCAACAAAAACTAAAAAGAGACATAAAATCCAAAAAATATTGGAAAGTTTAGGTTTATTTATTTTCTTTTTATTTGAATCTACATAGGCATATAATGGATTCATTTTTTTTTTTTTCTCAAATAAAGCTGGAATCTAGATTCTTACTCATTTCTTCCACATGTTAAAAAAAAAAACAAAAAAACTCACTTCTCTGCTGTCGAGTGAATTCCCACTCATAGCGACCCCTCCTTGGGTTTCCAAGATGGTATCTCTACAGAAGTAGGTTGCCCAGTCTTTCTTCTGAGGAGTGCCTGGTGGGTTTGAACAGCCAGGCTTCTGGTTACCAGTCAAATGCCTTAGGCACTATGCCACCAGAGCTCCCTAAGACCCTACCATATTCAAAATTTATTTGACATATTAAAAGTTAAGAAAGTTCAGTCATAACATAAAAGCTGTCTTATATATAACACAGAATGACAATAGTTTCCCCAAATTTCAGATTCATTTTTCAAAATTCTTTTAATGTCTTTTTTTTTTTTAAATTGTGATTTGGGTGAAAATTTACAGAGCAAATACACTTTCCATACAGCAGATCACTTACACTTTGTCTCATGACATTGACCACAATTTACCACAATGCAACATCTCCTCTCCCACTTCCTCCTGATAGCTACCTCTTCCTTGTGTCCATCCCTCCATGCACTCCTACCCCCTGAGCTGTCTCCCTGTGCCTGAGCAGCCCTTCTTTCTCTCATGCTTATTCTCTCCAAGGAATGTATCTACCTCAGGTAAATGCTCAACTAGTATGTCTGTCTATTGCTTGGCTGGAAGCCATAAGTGTGCGTTCAATTCCAGACCTGAAGGGCAGCTAGGGGCCATAGTCTCAGTGGTTCCACCAGGCTCCATTGGGCCAACAAACCTGTTCCCTGCTTTTTTTTTGTTTTCCAAATGATTCTAAGTTTTGTCCCACATTGTTCCCCCTGTCTATCCAGGATCTCCTACAAAGATCCTCTTCCAAGTGGTTGACAGTAGCCGAGCACTGTCTATTTCTTCTGGTCTCATAGTCGTATAGGCTGCAGATTGGATGGTGTACCATTTGCTAGGACTGATTGTTTCCATGAATTTTTGGTTTTCTTCTTTCTTCTTGGCTCTGGACAAGGAGAGACCCATCGTTGCATCTAGATGGCAGCTTGCAAGCTTTTAAGATCTCAGTTGCTGTTCACCACAGTAGAAGGTGGAACAATGATTTGCGTAGTATGTTATGCCAATTGAGTTTGATGTCCTCTGCTACTATGGTCCCGAGCCCACAGGTTCAACTACTTGGTCCCTCTGGGTAGCTGGCTGTGACCAAGCAGTGACTACAACCTTGCCCCTTGTCAGCCCCATTATACACCTGGGAATTCAGATCATACACATAAAGTTATTGGACCACTGTCTGCCAACCTTATACATGTTCTTGGGTGCACTCTCCACTTCATATAGATACCTAATATTTATCTTTATTTTTATTTATTTAATTTTTAATATTTATTTAAATATTTTAATATATCTTTTAAAGAATTTGAAAAAAAATTAAAGCTCAGTGACTAAATTCTATTGGATAAAATATGTGAGGTTTGTGACCTTAGCTACAGTTCCTAAAATGATTCCAGAAATTTATTTAAGTAAATGAATTAAATAGAGGAATTTTAAAATATAACCATCTTTTTTGTTCACTCTTACCAAATGTGGTGTTTTATAAGTCATTCCTTGGTGTTTAAACAATGCCAAATCTCATTTTAATTGTCTTTTCCTTATAACTGAATAGAATATTAAAAATGACCAATAATAGATATGGTTAGAATCTATTCTTGGGTAGCAAAAGTCAAATCAATTTGAATAGGTAAATCAGTATCTTTATGAAACAAAATTTTCTTGCATATTTTCCCTTAATGATTAAACTTCGTTGTACATTTTTAATTTGACCTCAATGTTAAGCAAGTTATTGAAAAGTAGAGTTACAAAGAACTTTGAAATATCATCCCATACATTACAAATTTAAATGAACCAAAACTATTAAATCTGTCATTAAATGTTATTGATGATCTCCAGAGAAGAAGACAGAGCATGTTTTCTGGGAAACCCATTCTCATAGTGTATGACCATCATTGGCAGATAAATTTTCTCGTTATGTAAATTTGTTGCATGGGAATTTGAGCCCATTTTCCCTTTTTAAGTTGGAGACTCACTGCTGTTGAGTTGACTCTGGCTTATAGCAACCCCTCCTTAGGTTTCTGAGGCAGTGTCTCTATGGAAGTAGATTGCCCAGTCTTCCTTCTGAGGAGTGGCTGGTGGGTTTGAACCTACAGCCTTCTGGTTAGCGGTCAAATGCTGTAGGCACAATACTTAATAGCCATTTCTGTTACTGAACACTATTGTTCAGTTGTACCTCAGTGTTTTGACCAACTAAAACAATTTCCTTCTTTTGAATTTACAGTTTCTAAGTCCAAGTCTACATGATCTTCTTTGGAACCTTCACTGTTTTTGACATCCTTCTACTCGATTAACTTGGAATTAGAAATAGTGCTCTAAAGAAGGTTAAATTAGCTTCCACTACTTCATGTGCTATCTTATTTATATATTAGTTCACTTCTGAGATTGGCCTGCCCTTCTGAACTAAGTTTGTTTGTTCTTTTTAATGCCCTAGATTATAATCTGACCATAGGTGCTAAAACTAGTCCTTTTCTAATTGGTATTTCAAAAATATTTCTTGTGTATTGAAATTAGATCTGTTTCATTTAATCACTCATGAAACTTTTAAAAGTTTGAATGCTAGTCCCGTTGTTCCAACCTTCAACCTTTCTTCAACTATGAGCCCAGAATGGACCTATTGAATGAATATCCACTGCATTGACAACTTCCCAGGTTTACATGTATTTATGTATAGCAAACTTAATGTAAAAGAATCAGTTTTAAATAAGTCATCTGTGTTTAATGTAGGCAGTATGAGTGTGAGTTAAATTGACTATCATGCTGCTATTAGGATGTTTATATGTTACTAGGAAAATCTGCCTTGTGTCTCATAACAGAATCACAGAGAAGATAGTCCATAGGACATAAAATACCACAAGCATAGTGATGTGAAACATCTGTGTGGCAGACAGCTGCAAAGTTTGGAAAGGAGAGTTTGTGCGGAATAAAGCAAGCTGATTTTTGTTGGCTTTCTCAATAATGAAGTTGAAGGAACAATGGAAGTTTTCCAAGACAAAAGCTTGTCCATGTGAACGCGCCTTCTGGAGCGACACTTTTAAAATAATCTGGAGTTGTGTTTTCACCTTTGTAATTGTCAACATTCATATGTTGTTGTTGTTTTTATGTGCCATCGAGTCGGACCCGACTCATAGCGACCCCTCCTTGGGTTTCCGAGGCAGTATCACTATGGAAGTAGATTGCCCCATCTTCCTTCTAAGGAGTGATACTCATATTAAAGCCATCGCTTTGTCGCTATTTGTGTTTATAAAAATCATTTCCTTTCTCATAATGGGTGAAACAAATGGTGATGATCAGATTCACTGAGTTATGATGGAAATCAGCTGTTAAGTTGATGGAAAAGCCACCCAACCCCAAAAGGAAGTCTGCTGAGGTTTTCCATTCCAAATAGGAGAATTAATTAAGTTAATTATAAGCAGACTTTTTAACAGGGCCCTAAAATTATTGAAAAGCCTTGTTTTCTAAAATAAAGTTATATAAATGCTGACTTAGAAAAGAAGATTCTCTGGGATATACTGGTTATCACTTTACTCTCCTGCAGGGCTAGAATAAGGCAGCACCTAACTGGATAATGATAATTGACAATTATCTACAGTCATTTATTTATTTTAAAAATTAAGTCCTTAAATTTTAAAATGCTATAAAAATATTTTCATAGCACTGGAGAGATTTGCTAGTACAGAACACATTAGGAGGACTAATTCACAGACCCCTGTTTGGCCCTAATGCAATATCATCTCCCTTTAAGTTAATTTCATTAGTTATGGAAATACTCAGAGGGAAAAAGTAAAATTAACTTTCGTTTTATTAATAATATGATTAAATTTTCTCTTGTGCAATTTGCTAAGTGTTTATGTTGTACTTCCATGGGAACTTTCTCTGTACCTATCTTAGTTTTCCCCTAAAGAATGCAGTTATAAAACAAATATGAAATTTGGCAGTTAAATGAGGTAACAGTATGGAATTTCAGAGGAGAGAGAATTAAATTAAAAGGAAAATAGTCAATCACATTTAAGGTCCTAAGCTTTTTCATGTCAATCAAAATGGACCAAAGCTGCTTCTAAGACCTAAACGCAAAAAAATTTAGAAAGGGGAGAAAGAGGTAATTTATCATTCATGTTTTTGAAGAGTCCAAATCTTTTTGTTTAGTTTTGTTTGAATATAAATACACAAATAGTGACAGGCTTCAAAGAATATTTAAATGTACCATAACATAAAAGGCCACCGAGTTTTTATTAAAAATAATTAATGTGGTCTTTAAAATGGTCTAGGGAGTGACCACAGCTGATAACAGGCCATGCCAGAAAAAAAAAAAAAAAAAAGCCTATTACAGCCCCAGACTGATTTACAACAAAATTGCATCATTTTATCATTAAATTTTCACAAGTAGATTGCGTTAAAATGTGCCTAATTTTGTTTTCCATGGGATTATTAAAAGTAAGACATAAGATATTACAGACACTACAGCTATCACAATACTCACCAGGGAGAACTTGCATTCCCCAATACAACTAGCTTTGAATTATTTTTAAGTGTAGCAGAACAATAAGTACAGGTTTCCTCAGAATCACTTTTCCTCAATTTAATGGAAGATAGATTTTGATATTCAAGACCAGTATTTTTTAAAAAAATAAAATCTCTATGTGCTAGGTTGCTACTTTTTTCTTTATATGGAGAAGAAATCTCATATATAGCACTCATTTTTATACACAAATTAAATTTCTGTAAGTTGCTCACGCCATTCTGTGTAAATCTGTAGGCATTATAATGTGGCATTTTATGATAATCTGTTACCTTATATTGCCTGAGTCCATTTTTTCTGATGCTCAGAGCTGTTTCAGAGATTTATGATTACAAGCCTAAAATATATCATGTGGCTACTTCACTTCCTGTTCTACATTTGTGCTTCATGCTAAAGAAAGCCTGGAACCAAGATCCTTAAGAATTATACAGTAGTGTGTAGAGCATAGAACAAAAAGTGGAACTGCAGCAAATGCCAAGCAGCCTCTGCCAGAAACATTTTCTAATTTATTACAAACAAGACCACACTACAGGGTTGAAAAGGAGATGAAGACAAAGGTCCAAACACCTGGAATCAAATGAAGAGTGGTATTAAAAAGTTTAATATCCTGTTTTTATGAAAGTTTTTACATTATGGACAATGTAATGGTTTATATGTAGCTCTGTTACATTTGATGTGGCTTTTTGTTGTTTTGCAATCTGAGACACTCCCTCTCCCCTGAGACATTATGCAGCTTTAGAAGGACACACTGTGGAGGAATCTAGATAGAGGCAGGGTACAGGAGCCTCCAGAATAGTAGCACTAAGTTTACTAGGTTTCAGATTGCTGCTGTGGTTTCTGGTAAATAAACCCATCTGTTGTATCCAAACTCTGCATTTACACTTTTATTTTCTTCACTTCTTTCCATCTTAAAACTACATAATAATAATATTATTATTATTTTTAGCCAAGAACAACCATTCACACCTATGGGTAAAAGTAGCAATAACCTTTAAATAAAACAAACAACTGATGAATTTATGACTATTAAATATTCAATAGTCTGCCTTTAGATTACTATAAGTATAGGTTTTAGATTCCCCTTCTCATCACAAAACACCTTTGAGGCACCTCAAAAATACACAGGAGCAAACACAATTAACAAACACTGGAGGTGCAACTTTTTATTAGTGACTTGTCTAATCAACTCTTTGAAATTATTTTTCTAGCTAAACAGAATATATCAGAGGCTACAACCATCGAATTGAATATCCTCGCAGAAACTACATCACCAAGTTTACCCAAGGAACCACAAATAGTACCTGACAGAACTACACCAATCATGCCTGTAATCACTGAATTACCTGTCATTACAACCGAGTTCCCTCCTGTGGGATATATAGTCAATTTTGAACACAAAGTCCCAGTGCAGTCTCAAACTGTCACAGACAGATTAGGCACGGAAACCTCTGAGCCTCCTGGGAGTACCAAGAAGCCATGGGATATGGATTACTTGCCTTCTGCTTCAGGACCACTAGGAAAGCCAGATATATCTGAAATTAAGGAAGAAGTGGCCAAAAGTACAACTGTCATCTCCCGTCATACTACTGATTCATGGGATGGTGTCACAGAAGGTACACACACGCAAGAATCAGTTACACAAATTGAACAAATAGAAGTGGGTCCCTTAGTAACATCGGTGGATATCTCAAAGCATACTCCTTTGAAGGAAATCTCTGTCACTGAAGCACCATTTCTACCCACAAGGGTGACCATGGAATCCAAAACTGGAAAAGAAACAATAGGCACTATTTCTGAATCAGCAGCCACGAACCTCTATGGGTTCACCTTGGGAAATGATCATGGTGAAGACAGAACACTTACGGTTAGACCTGGTCAGAGCACCTTGGTCTTTAGCCAAATACCTGAAGTTATTACAGTGTCAAAGACTTCAGAAGACACCACCCACATTCAACTGAAGGAATCAGAGTCAATCTTGGCTTCCACAATTGTTTCATCTGGTACTATGCCTGACAGTGATGAAGTATCAGTGGAAGAGAAACAAGCTACTAGTAGGATTACTGAGGCTTTTTGGGGCCAGTATATATCTACCACACCTTTTCCACCACAGCATGAGACAGAAGTAGAATTGTTTCCTTCTTCTGGTGACAAAAGATTGGCAGAGGGAATATCAACAGTTACTTATTCCTCTCCACAAACAGAAATGACACAAGGGAAAGAAAGAATAGAAACACAAAGGCCGGAAATGAGAACAGATACTTATACTAATGATGAAATACAGGCAAAAATCACCAAAGATCCATTTATAGGAAAAACAGAGGAAGAATTCTTCTCTAGAATGAAGGTATCTACAGCATCCTCTGAGCAGATTCATCCTACAGGGTCTTCTGTAGAAATGACAAAATCTTCTGAGTCTCCAGCACTGACAACAACAAAGCCAAGTGTGCAGACTACAGAAGAAAGAGATCTGGAAGAAGAATTTGTAACAACTCCAGTTGGGTTACAAACTGATGGTTATCAAGATACTACCAAGTATGATGACAGTATTACAACAGTGCATTTGACTCACAGTACTTTAAATGTAGAGGTGGTCACTGTATCAAAATGGTCATGGGATGAAAGTAATACAACATCAAAGCCTTCAGAATCTGCAGAACATGAAGGTTCTCCAAAATTGACCCCTGCCTTACTTACACCTGAAGGAGGGAATGGAGAGGATGAAGTAATCCCAAGATCCACTGAACATGGAGATGGATTTACTCTTATTCCAGATACTACTCAAAAGCCATTAGAGGAGATAACTGAAGAATACTTAACAGACCATGGACAATTCACTGTTAGACTTCGGCCAGCTACATCAATTAGTATTACAGAAAAGTCAACGAGGGATTCTATAACTGAAGACAGAGTTTCATCTATCTCAAGAAATGAAAGCCAAGTTTTTTATACAACCACAGAAGGAAGTGCTTTGGACGAAGGAACAGATGAGGACATCTCTAAGCCAATGTCTACAGTCCCCCAATTTACACACATTTCAGATGTGGAAGGATTGGCATTTATTAATGAGAGTATCACCCAGAAGCCTACTACTTATTTAGACACGTCCCCTACCATTCCTCTTTCTGTAATTCCCAAGAAAGAATGGGGAGTTGTGGTACCTTTTGTTCCATCAGAAGGTGAAGTATTAGGTGAGCCCTCTCAAGACATACATGTCATTGATGATACTCACTTGGAAGCAACTATTTTTCCTGAAACCATAGGAGCGACAACAGAAATTACACAGGAAACAACTCAGGAAGAAGTTCCCTGGAAAGAACAGACTGAAGAGCAGCCAGTTCCAGCTCCCAGTTCTACAGGTGAAACGCCCAAGGAAGCAACAATATCATTGCATGAACAAGAGAGTGAGGGGTCAGCATATCCAATCCCAGAAGACAAATTGGTGACAGGTTTGGAGAGAGTCACCATTTTAGAAACAACTCCAGCTGGAAAACTTGAGCACAGTGTGTCTTATTCTCCTGGTGCTATAACTGAGCACAAAGTGAAAATGGATGAAATGGTAACACTAACACCAAGTGTGGGGATGAAAGTATCTTTAAGTCCAAGGCCTGAACAGAAATATAAAACAGAAAGCAGTCCAAAGGAAATTGAATCACCTTTGAGACCTTTCAGCACCCATGTTACCCAGCTGATAGAAGAAACCACTACCGAGAAAAGAGAGGAAACATCGCTAGATTATATTGATTTAGGCTCAGGATTATTCGAAAAGCCCAAAGTTACAGAGCACTCGGAATTTTCAACAATTAAAGCTACAGTTCCAAGTGATATTACTGCTACCTTTAGTTTAGTAGACAAATTTCACACAATGTCAACATCTGTGCCCTCTTCAGCATCCACTGAGAAACCACCTCTTATTGACAGGGAACCTGGTGAGGAAACAACAAGTGACATGGTAATCATAGGAGAATCAACATCTCCTGTTCTTCCCACTACCCTTGATGATATTGTAGCGAAAGAAACAGAAACTGAAATTGATCGAGAGTATTTCACAACTTCAAGTACTTCTGCACAGCCAACAAGACCACCCACTGTGGAAGGCAAAGAGCCCTGGAAACCCCAGGCAGTTTCCACCCCAGAACCCCCACTGGGGACAAAATTCCACCCTGACATAAATGTTTATATTATTGAGGTCAGAGAAAACAAGACAGGTAAGTCTTTGCTTTCTAGACATACCATTCAAGGCAGTTAGTATTTTATCTTGAAAGTAACATTGGGGAAAAAAATCAACATATCAAATGCTCTATTAAAAGATAACTGGAGTGTAAAAAAGATTGTATATTAGCTTTATATATTTGTACAAGAATTGAAAGAATATGTTAAACAATTTGGAAAAATGCTAGGTATGATTTTATTTTAAAAGTTATAAGAAGCCCTGCTTTGTCATCTAATATAACCAAATCATCACTGTTACATCACTTCAGAACATGCAGAACAAAGTGTTTTAATTTCAGTGTCTTTCCATGCATTACTACTCAAGTGTAGCACTAGACTGTGTTAACATTCCATTGGTCTTTAACTATTAACCTTCAGCACTTACAAATGTGGACAGCTAAAATGATACTGTATATCCCTAGAGTTTATAGAAAGGTATCCTAAAGTTTGCTTTTGTTTTTTTTTTTCTTCCAGGATTTTGTAGGTTTATCATACCACTTGTGGGGTGGGTAATAGAAGCTATAATTTAAATGTTATTTTGATGCAAGTTGAACATATTTTTTAAGCTGTTATCTTTTTCTTTCTTAATGTGGCTTTACTTAGAACAAATATAATCTAGTCTATTTGTAGGCAATGTGATGAGTTCATAGTATCAAATATCAGAAGCTGAATATCTTAGCATAACCTTTCTTTCCTACCAAACAGACTGTAATATTGTTTATATTTTATTTAATTGTTGTATCTCTAGGAATATTTGTGTAAAATATTTCTTAAATATTTTAACTCTCTGACAGAATTCTTAAAAGTGGTTTATTTCCATTGATCAGTATTTGCAATTTTCATTACCAACCCTGACATATTCCTTCTCAAAGTAAAACCACACCATCTTTTAATTTTGTCAGCTCAATTAAGAATACAGAGCACATTCTGTTCAATAGATTGATTCAGGTTTGTTTGTCTCTAATTTAGAAGTTAAGATCACTAACTTTTGTAAATTGTTATATTCTAGTTTAATATGACATTTCAATAAATTAATGCTTTTTTTCTTTTGATCTGGCTCTGAGATGCCTGGCTAGAAGAAAATCTTTATAGCCAAGTTCCTCTCTTACTGTTGAGATGCTCATCTCAGTGAATCATTTTTCCTGAGGGTGATACTATCCTCAATAATGGTATATAGGAGTGCACTTGTTAGAAACAAACAGGTCCCTTCATTGTTAAGTGAGATGGTTTCCACTAAGGCAGGTGGAACTTCCTGGTTTCTATAGGCTTCTACTGTGCAGAATTTTCTCATTTAAAAGCTCTTATGGGAAAGTGAATAGTGGAGAATGGAATACATTCCTAGAGCATTAAAATTAATCCCCACTTCCCAATACTGTTTAAAGAGGCCAGAATTGGGCCATTATTTTTCTAGTAATGATGCTGTTTCTTGGAAACAGCTTTCCTTTTCCACCTCTGGGAACTTAAGTCAGAGGAGAAGAGTTTCCAAGCAAATAAGAATAAGGATTTCTGGTTGTAGGATTGGAAAAAGGGAGAGGAAGAGGTTACTCTGGAAAAGAAAGATAAGACATAATGAAAACAAAAAGAAAAGTACTTAACACTTGAGAAATTTTTCAAATTCTTGAACAACTGACTATGTAGAAATTTTTCCCAGTCTATGTAACTCTCTTGTTAGTGTAGATACTGTTGTTGTTCAGGTGCCTTTGCTTCAGTTCTGACTGTTAGCGACCCTGTGTACAACAGAACACTGCCTGGTTCTGTGCCATCCTCACAATTGATGCTATAGGTGAGCCTATTGTTGCAGCCTCTGTGTCAATCCATCTCACTTAGGGTCTTTCTCTTTTTCATTGACCCTCTACTTTACCAAACATGATGTCCTTCTCTAGGGACTGGTCCATCCTGAAAGCATTTCCAAAGTACATGAGATGAAGAAGTCTCATCATCCTTACTTCTAAGGAACATTCTGGCTGCACCTCTTCCAGGACAGATTTGTTCATTCTTCTGGCAGTTTATGGTATCGTCAGTATTCTTCACTAGTACCATAATTCAAATACATCAGTTCTTCTTTGGTCTTCCTTAAGTCGAGCCAAATAATATAGAAAATAGTAAAAAATGTCCTGCATTTTACAACTCTTCTTAATGGGAAACTGTTAAGGTTAGAGCAATCAAATTATAAAATGGAAAAAGTGAAACTTGATCTCTCTGGAAGAATTGGCAGTCATCACAGAAACGATCTAAGCTTATAAATGCTTACTCAAAATGGAGGATCTGAGCAACCCAACCGATAGCAATGTATACAAAAGTGTACATTTGTATTTGAGTCATGGGCTTCACCCAGCTGGGGTTTGGAAACATGGATAGGTGTTCCTTCTTATTTCTTCTATTTTAAAACATGGGACAATACCCAGCCTTCAAACACTTTTTAGTTCAGCATTGATAATAATTGGTCAGAAACTCTGTATAAACAGAGTAGTAGTTGGTTATCTCCATTCAGGATTACTTCCATGACAGGATTCCAGTATGTAAGAGAGTGTGTGTGTGTGTGTGGGGGGGTGGGGGGTGGGTGATACATATCTATCAATTTTTCTGTGCATCCTTCTGTGTATGTATGTATGTATGTATCTCTAGTTTTGTGTGTTGCTATATATTCCTTGTCCTTAAAACTAAAATTGGTGTTTATTGTCATGATAAAACAATAAGGTTTATTCTGATCCAACTGCTTATGGGTACTAATTTTAATCATCTTCTATGAGGAATTTAATTTTTCAAACGTTTTGAACTTTGTTAAGGTAAAACCCCAAAGCAGATATTAAGTTAATGAGTTCTAAGGCAGGTGTATAAATTAGTAAGGAAAAAGGTGATATGTGTGTGGAAAACCAACTTTTTTATGTATTAAAGCACATTTTTCCAGACTGGAAAATCTTTGGTACATGTAATGAACTTGTATAAATCTATTCAGAAGCTTAGAATTGACCTCTACATGTACTGTGTACCAAGTAAGCAGAAATACCACACATGCTACACTGAACCAAATTACGTTCATAATTTTTTGTTGTGCTCGGCAAGTCGTCATATAAATCTTACTTTTTTTTTTTTAAAAACTGCTATGAAACAAAACATGCGACTCAGGACCATTTATGCTATATTTGTTCAAGTGGATCTTAATAGCAAGTTAGGTCTCTGTTGCTAGAAGGCAAATGTAGTTAGCAGTGAAAAAAAATCTGAAGGAACTTTTCAGCTCATAAAACTTTTATGAGCTGAAAATGCTGTGGGGTGTTTTTAACCATGGTTCAGGGGATACTGAGAACATGACTCCTGTCTGTTTCAGGAGTAATTTGCACACCTGCATTTTGAAAAATTATTGAAAGGTTTTCTTTGTGAACATGTATGAAGGCTACAGGGCTTAAAGATGTAGGAAAGGTTTCTTTAAGACTTTTTTTTTCCTTGGTAGCACTCCTTCTTGCACTCATGAAATGTTACAAGTTAGTGTAACAAAACTGAATGTTTTAAAAAGCAGATGTACTAGTATCTTTAAATAAAAGAATTTGGAAAAATATAGATATTAAATACAAGCATTATTATGGAAATGCTCATAGTTAAAACCTTAAAATAGATTATTAGTTTTTTTTTAATCATATATACTTTTTACTGTGTATCAGGCACTTGTTAAGCACTTACATGAACATTAACTCATTTCATCTGCATTGCAACCCTCTCTGGTAGATATTATTATGATTTTCATTTTACAATTGAAGAAACTGAGGCAGAGAGAGGTTAATTTGCCCAAGACCACATGGCTAGAGTAGGAAAGCTGGAGACAAGTCTAGGGAGTCAGTTCATGGGTCAAAGCTCAACCAGTATACAGTAAAACCTGTGAAAGTCAGAACCCAGGTAAGGCAGAGACCTGTTAGGGAAGGAAAACTCAAATATTTTCCGCTAAAATGAGCGACAGAAAAGTGATAAAACTGCACCTTGTGAAAGGCAGGAAACTTACGAGATGCGGAAAAACAAGGCAGTTCCACTGAGTTCCAGTTCTCACAGGTTTCACTGTACCACGCCACCTCACAGTGGAGACTAAGAATGTTGTCTGTGATTCTTCATTGGCCATTGCTGGTTAATGCTAAGAATCTTTTATGATATATAACATTTAACCATTCTCATTAGCCTGTATTCCTATTTCCTAGAAAGTAGGAAGAACAATAAAAACCATATACAAAGTATAGTTGGTTCAATGGCATTCCCGAAACCACACCAAAGCTAAGATTTGACTCCTAATGTTATCATGGTTGTTTTTTTTTTTTTTTAAGTTGTGATTTGGGTGAAAGTTTACAGAGCTAACTCATTTTCCATACAGCAGTTCATTTTGTTTCATGATATTGACTGTAATTCTCATAATGTAACAGCTCTTTTCCCACTTCCTTCCTATGGTTACCTTTTCCCTGTGTCCTCTTTCCTAGGCATTGCTGCCCTCTGAGCTATCACCCTGTGCAAATGCTGCCCTTCTGATCTCCCATGATTGATTGTTCCAAGGAGTGTATCTACCTGATGTAAATGTTCACCTTATATGCCTGTTTCTTGTTTGGCTGGAAGCTACAGGAGTGAGTTCAGTTCCAGGCCTGAAGGGTGACTACAGGTCATAGTCTCAGAAGTTTTACTCAGGAGGAAGGTTGGGCAATCTATGTCCTTAGTGATGCCACCTCAGAAACCCAAGGAGGAGTCTCTATGAATTGGATCTGACTCGATGGCAATGACTTTGGTTTGGTTTTTATCATATCAGACCAGTAACCCTAGCCCTTTATGATTTGAGTTTTATTACACTTTTTTTTTTTTTTTTTTTCTCCTACTCTATCCAGGATCTTCTGCACTGATCCTTTTCTGAGTGGTTGACAGTGGTAGCTGGGCACCATCTAGTTCTTGTGCTCTCATGGGCATGTAGGCTGAGGTTTACTATCAGAAGGTAGAGATGCACCTTCTTGGTTAAATGAATTTCCTACCTCAA